TGATCTCAGCCTCCCAAGTAGCTAGGATTAGAGGCATGAGCCACCAATGCCTGGCACAACACTAGGTATTGAACTCAGGGACTCCTGCTTGCAAGGCACTTGAGTCACACCATGCCAGCCATGCCTCCAGTCCCCCATAGGCTTTGATCTTGGCGCTGAGATTCCTTAGATCTAAAATATAAGTGGTTTACAGCAATAATCATGCAGGACAATCAAGAAAAGAACAAGGGTTCCTTGACTTGATGTCCTGCTGTAATGGTGTAGTGGTCAGAGGATGGAGATATTCTCAGAGTAAATGATTCTAGAGAAGGATAAGTGGGCTCTTAAGAAGAGTGGTAGCTGGGCATGGTGGTTCCTGTCTGTAATTCCCACTACTCAAGAGGCAGAGACACGAGGATCATGAGTTCCAGGCCAGACCAGTCCAAGCAAAGTTATCCATACCTGTCTCAAAAACAAAATAAAAAGCCAGAAAGGACTGGGACACAACTCAAGTGGTAGAGTGCTCAAGTGGTAAACATAGTGTGAAGCTCTGAATTCCATACCCACTACCAGAAAAAAGAAAAGACAACCAGTGGATAATAAACTCAGACCCCACCTGTCTGAGTGTGGTGAAGTTTCTACTTTTGTGATAAAATTTAATCTCTACTTGTTACTGGAACACCCTGGGAAGAGGACTGAGGACAGGTGAGTTCATATTGAAGGCTCTGTCTTTGGACAAATAGGGGAATTTAGAAAGTCTTGCCCTGCTTGCTTATTGGCAATCAACATATTAACACAACATATTTAAGGGTGGCATTTCCTGAACGCTTGCAAAGGCTAGCTTTAATGAGCATTTCAAGCATAATTTTTTTTGTGTGTGTGGTAATCAGGGCCTTCACTTTGAGCCACTCCATCAGTCCTGTTTTTGAGAAGGGTTTTTCAAGATAGGGTCTTGCAGAACTATTTGCCTGGACTGGCTTTGAATAGCGATCCTCTTGATCTCTGCCTCTTGAGTAGCTAGGATTACAGGAGTGAGCCACTGGTGCCCCATCCATAATTGTTAGGGATGAATAAACTAGCTGAATGTGAGATGGGAGTTTATATATTGAACTTATCATAGTTTTAGAAGTCTTTTTAAGTAACTTGAAATTTTAAAGCCATACCATGTTAAATTAATATTCGTAAAATGTTTGAATTATTTTTATGTAAGTTAAAATACTGAAACATTAATTGCTGAGCATAAGTTTAAAGTACATATACTGTGATATCTTATTTATTTGGTGGTATTAGAGGTTGAGCTCAGGACCTTGTGCTTGCTAGGCAGGAACTCTGCCACACCCCAACCCTGGTGTCTTTGTTTATTTGCGATGCTGGGGTTTGAGCTCAGGGTCTACACCTTGAGCCACTCCACCAGCTCTTTTTTGTGTTGAGTTTTTTCGAGATAGGGTCTCATAAACTATTTGCCCGGGCTGGCTTTAAACGGTGATCCTTCTGATGTCTGCCTCCTGAGTAGCTAGGATTACAGGTGTGAGACACCAGAGCACAGCTGGTATCTTTATATGGTATAGAGAAGCTAAATAGATTTGGGCCTGTTAATAAACAAAAAATTATTTTACAAGGATAAAATGTTTCTAAAAAATACGAAATGGTGGTCATCTACAAAATGCTGATACAAAAGTTTAAAATTGCTTACTTCCTAGGTTTTCCCTAGAAGTTGAGGTTACTAAGAATTAAAATTTCTAACTAATATATATGATCATTAAAACCAGAATAAGTCAACTCCTTGTATGAGGAAAGTAAGAAAAAAAGAATGAGTGGTTGTTCCAAAACAAGAAAAAAGTATAAGACAAAAACTGAGTGGATAAACTTGTAGAAGTTTTGTGGAAGATAAATTTTTTTTTTTGGTTCTGGAATCGAACCCAGGGCCTTACCCATATTAAGTACCACTGAACTGTACTTCTAGTCCAGAAAATCAATCTTGTGGAAAAAACATTTTGTGTGATCAAACTGGTTAAAATTGCAAGAAAATGATAAATTTCTCTAAAGCAAGCAGGATTACATTAATGCGAAAGTAAGATATGAGTCAGACTCAGTGGCCCATGTCTGTAATCCTAGCTACTTGGGAGGTGGTGATGGGGAGGATTAAAGTTAGCAAGGCTCCCTCTTAACAGAAAAAACTGGGTGTGATGGTTCGAGCTTATTATCCCAGCAAAAATAGGAGGATGGAGATCCTATCTTGAAAATATCCAGAGCAGGGTTGGAGGTGTGGCTCACAAGTGACAAACCGTGAGTTCAAACCCTAGACTGCCAAACTGCCTCCTCCCCCCAAAAAACAAACTACAATAAAACAAACAAAACCCTAGAATGAATGTGCTCTTCTGTTAAAAATAATAGTTTCTCAAAGTACTGATCTGTTCTTAAAAGAAAATAGTTCAAAGTTGGTGTGGTTTGGTTTTTTTTTTTGCTGCGGTACTGGGGTTTGAACTCAGGGTCTACACCTTCACCAGCCCTATTTTTGTGATGGATTTTTTTCGAGATAGGGTTTTGAACTGACGACTGGCTTCTAATGGAGATCTTCCTGACCTCTGCCTCCTGAGTGCTAGGATTACAATTGTGCGCCACCAGTGCCCAGCTTCAAGAAAACTTCTTGTGGTTTTTTGGTTTTGTTTTTTAAATTAGGACTTTGATTACTTAAGTATCTTCTCATATTGAAAGAGCTAATTTTTTTGGGGGGGTGGTACTGGGGTTTGAACTCAGCGCCTAATGCTTGCTAGGCAGGTGTTCTACCACTTGAGCCACTTCCCAGCCCAAGAGCTGGGGGTTTTTTTTGTTTTGTTTTGTTTTGAGGTATCGGGGCTTGAACTCAGGCCCTTCACCTTGAGCCACTCCACCAGCTCTATTTTTGTGAAGACTTTTTCCAGATAAGGTCTCCTGGAACTATTTCCCTGGGCTGGCTTGAGACCATGATACTCCTGATCTCTGCCTCCTGAGTAGCTAGGATCGCAGGGTGAGCCACCAGCACCTGGCTAGAGCTAAGTTTTTATTGACAGTTATGCAACCTATATTTATCTTATTATTTTTATGGTGCTAGGATTGAACTCAGAGTCTTGTGCATGCTCAGCAAGTGCTCTACCATTGAACTACAACTCCCAAGCTCTGTATTTTCAAGTCTTTTAATTATTAATCTGGCTAAATGAATGACTATTATTTATTTCAGAGTTGTGATCTCATTACTTATTTACATTTTTATTAACATATATTAGTTGTACAGGGGAGTTTCACCATGACATTTACACATGTGCTTACAATGTATCTTAATTAGATCCACCCCCTCCATCATTCTCCCATCTCTCCCCCCTTCACCCTTTATTTTGATCAAGTGTTTTAAAACTGTTGACTTTTTTTTTTTTTACAAAGTTCCCCAGATCAAATTCTAAATTAAGTCTTTTTTATCTCAAATTAACTTTAAGATTTTCCTGTTGGGCTCCTGGATATGTCATCATATTTTGGTTGTTAAAATGCTGCATGCCACAGAAATAAAACGTTTTCCACTTGAATATAAACTAGCTAAGGATAAGGGTCACTTATGAATGCTGTCCACTTAAAAGTACTGTACCAGACACTGGAAATTATATACATCTATATATTTTTATATAATACATCATATAATGTATTATATAGTATATTATGTAATATATTATATAGTATATTATGTAATAATACTAATAATATCTAATACACATCATGTGTAGAGATACTTTTGTTTTCATTTCTGTAAGTAACTTGGTATTTTCTCTACCTTACCCCCAAGAGGGTAGTAGCCAGGCCTGTATAGTCCCAAGTTAAAGGGACCCAGACAAGGATTTCCAGAAATGCCTTTGCAAAGTATGGGTTCAGAGGGAAACTGATCCAGAAGGAAAAGGAAGGAAGCCAGAACTTTGAATAGAGGAAACAATCTGTGGAGTTTAAGGGAGAGTTAGAGAGAAGGCACCAGGTCTTAACTGGGAAGTAGAGACCTAGGTTGCATGTGCAAATGGCACCCCAGGACGAGAATACCTTGGGTGGGTGTCTATGCCTTGGGCTTTAGAGTCTCTTTGAGCACAGTTGGCATGATCCATTGTGAAAGGTCCAGCAGAGGTGGGAGGAGCCATTCTAATGATGCAGCCAGTACAGATTAAAGATCTGGCCGCGAATCCACCATTTTGCAGAAGACACAAGTCAGTAGAAGGCAGTAGTGTCTGTAAAACAGCTGAAATGCTTTTTTGTGTTTGTTTGGTGCGACAGGAGCTCGCTACGTCGGCTGGGCTCGAACTCGTGATCATTCTGCTCACAGGCTCTTGCCATCGCGCTGGACTAAAATGATTCCTTTAAGATTTCTCTGATCAACAATGGCTAATGTTTTAGAACCTACTACATTGAAAACCTTGGGCTTCGATGTCTTGGATTCCCAGTTTTGAAGCTGAAACCTTTTTTTTGTGCAGACTTCAGATTTATCTCCCCTTTGCGCTTAATTCAAGCTCTAAGTAGGTTTCAGTCTTCCCACCTTGCCAACCTTCCTACATTTCTCTCTGCAGGCTTTCCTTTCCCATCCTTGTCACTCAGCCCAGCCTGAGTCTCCTAAGCGTTCCCTTCTACGTCCCACTCCCTATTTGGGCGGTCTCTCCCTCCTTTTCTCCAGCCTCAGACGGCCCCATTTCTCTTTTCCCTCCCGGGTGCCCACAACGCTCTTCTCTCATTTCCCTGCTTAGGTGGCGGCCCCGGACTCCTATTACGCTGCTCTCCTCGCTCCGCAGCGCAGCTCCTCACGCGTCCTCTCCGCCCAGCCGTTGGAGGGGGCGTGGCCGCAAGTAACAGGTCTTCCGCCCCACACTCCGCGGGCCCGCGCGCAGACAAAGACATTCCACAGCCCCCGCCCCCTCCGCACACTCGGCCAGAAGGGGGAGGAGACACGTGTACCGCTAGCTGCGAATCACGTGGAAAAGAAAACGAACGAAGCCCGCGGCCGTCCACGCATGCGCACCAAGCTCTGGCCAGGCGGGCTCTAAGGGAAAAACGAAGCAGGGAAGAGACATCTTCTGGCGCCGCGGAGGTGCGCATGCGCCCTGGCCTGACTGGGGACTTTGTTCTCCGCGGAGAAACCCAAGGGCGGTGCCGGAGAACGGCTGCGCACGCGCGTCTTCTCATTTCCGGTGCTCTCTCTCTCTCTGGGTCGCTCGGGTCGGCTTCGGTCGCTGTTGCTCCCGCTCTCCCACCCCCGCCAACCGCCGTCGGGCCTCTGCCGCCGTCGCCGCGTCGCTTCCTCGCTAGTTCGCGGTACATCTTTCGCGATGCAGCGCCGGGACGACCCAGCCGCCCGCATGACCCGGTCCTCGGGCCGCAGTGGTTCCATGGACCCCTCAGGTGCCCACCCCTCGGTGCGTCAGCCACCGTCTCGGCAGCCGCCGCTGCCTCACCGGTCCCGGGGAGGCGGAGGGGGACCTCGGGGGGGCGCCCGGGCCTCTCCCGCCACGCAGCCGCCGCCACTACTGCCGCCCTCGGCCACGGGTCCCGACGCGACAGTGGGCGGTCCAGCGCCGACCCCGCTGCTGCCCCCTTCGGCCACAGCCTCGGTCAAGATGGAACCGGAGAACAAGTACCTGCCCGAACTCATGGCCGAGAAGGACTCTCTGGACCCGTCTTTCACTCACGCCATGCAGTTGCTGACGGCAGGTAAACGGGCCTCGGGGTCCCTCCGGGCCGTCCGGCCACCGAGACCATGGGTGGCCAAGGCTTTGTTCCTTTGCTCCCGCCCCCCCACCCCGGGAGGGGGGGACCGGGCATCGCGAGCTCCTTTCTGGTCCCCACTTTGGGGAGACCGACTTGGGATGCGAGGGAGGATTTTTGGGCCGCCGTGGAGGCCGGAGGACGCCTCGCGATCTCCGAGCGCGAAGAGCTTGATGGATAGTGCGGGGCTCTCGTCCCCTTCCCGACCCTGCTTCCTCCACCCCGTCTTGCAGCTGCCCCGCGCCAGGGCTCAGATCCTTCTAGAAGTGAGCCTCTAACTCCCGGCTTCCCCCGGAGCGAGAGCCTTGTCGATCACGGGTGGCGGGGAGCGCCTCTGCCGGGGGTGTAGGAGGTGGAGGGAGAGCCTGAGCGAGGTGGGGGGCCGCAGCGCCCGGTCCAGCGCGCCGCTGTTCGCCGGGGCCGACTAGCTGAAGTCCCGAGGGTCTTGGGGGCATCTGAGCTTTGGATTTCCGAATCCCCTTTACGATTTCGGCCGATCAAATGAGAATTGCCGAGGAGGAAGGTTGTTCCCCTTCTGTTCACAACATGTGTTCGCCATCATTCAAGACAGTAAAAGAGGGACGACTGAGGGAGATCAGGGACTCCAGGTTGCTTGACGTTCTCTAATGAGGTGCACAAAAACTAAGAGAAGTCGCAAAGTGCTTGCACCTAAAAGGCTTGATCTTCCTGTTGTTTTAGTTTCTGCTTGAGTAGTGAAATAGATTAGGAATGGTAGCCTTTGTTCTCTGTAGACTAACGAGCTGTCTTTCCCTGATCAACACTTGCCACTTAGGCGCACTGATTTCTCCCTCAAGCAACTGACTCTTGCTTCTAGTTATTTTAATAAGCATTTTTTACAATGCCTAAACTTTATTTAGGTCCTCAACACTGAATGATGGCAAGATTGATAAAGTGGACAGTTTATTAGAAAATAACTATTTTCTTCCCTTTGTTCTTTATTTCCCAACATTGATAAGGGATCATATAAGCACAACAAACAAAACACGTGGTCAAAAGTAAAAACATACAGATTAACTGCTTACATTTTCAACTTAGTGCTTTGCTGTCTGTAATACATTCAGATTTAGATTGTGATTTTTTTTTTTTTTGGTACTGAATCTTGAACTGGGCCTACTCCCTGAGCCAGTCCACTAGCCTTTTTTGTGAAGGCTCCCGTCAGTTCCAAGCGGTGTCATTAGACCGACATCAGAAACTAGTGAAGGGTTTTTTCGAGATAGGGTCTCGAGAACTGTTTCCCCGGGCCGGCTTCGAACCACGATCCTACTGATTTCTGCCTCCTGAATAGCTAGGATTACAGGCGTGAGCCCCCAGCGCCTGCCTCTGTTGTATTCTGATGAGCTTTTTCTTTTTTTTGCGCTACTGGGGTTTGAACTCAGGTCCTCACGAAACACGCTCTCCCATTTGAGCCACGCCCCTAACCCTTTTTTGACTTAGTTATTTTTGAAACAGGGTCTTTTATTTTTGGAATAAGTCCGTTTTTTGCCTGGGCCAGCCTGGAGAACAACCCTCCTATTTAAGATTCCCCAAACCACCACCACCACCACCAAGCCCAGCTTTATTGGTTGAGGTTGGGGGTGGGGGGTGGGGATCTTCAGTCTTTTTGCCCTGGCTGGCCTCGAACCATGATTCTCCTGATCTCTGCCTCACAAGTAGTTGGGAATACACTGCACTCAGCTAAGGATTGTTTTATGTTTTTCAAATTGGCTTGTAAATAGCAAATTCGAGTGTTTCTTTGATTGTGGAAGCATGTGCCTGCAGACTCAGGCATGCTCCTGTGTGGTAAAGGTTGACTTGGTGGTCTTTTTTTTCCCCTCAAATCTTTAATCAGATTAAATGCAGGAGAATAAAATAACTATAAGGTCTTAAGGTGTAGGGTTGGAAACTGACCTTTAACTAGTTAACCTGATCTTGGAAAACACTCCCAACCTCATCCGTAAGGATAGTGAGTGCAATTTCCATTGATTGATAATCTTTTTTTTTTTTTTTTTTTTTTTTTTTTTTTTTTTTGCAGTACTAGGGTTTGAACTCAGGGCCTCATGCTTGCTAGGCAGGCACTCTACTACTTCAGCCACTCCGCCAGCCCTGATCTATAATCTTTAAATACAAGTTTCTTACCACAATTTTTTTCTAATTATGAATCTATGGTACTGAAAAAGTATGAAAACAAGATATATTTTGCCTTTCTAGCCACAAATGCCTGTGATATTCATCTTTTAAAAGATGGTTTCTAGCTGGTGGTTCATGCCTGTAGTCAATCCTAGCTGCTTGGGAAGCCAGCCGAGGCAAATAGTTTATGAAACCCTATCTCCAAAATAACCAGAGCAAAATTAACTGGAGGTGTGACTCAAGTGGTAGAGCACCTGCAGGAAAAAAGCCTGAATTCAAACCCCAGTCCCACCAAGGAGTTATGGGGGGGGGGGAGTAGGACAATGATGGCTTTTTAGATTAACCACAAAAAGCTGTTGAGCTGGCAGAATGGTAGAGCACCTGCCTAGCAAGCATGAGGCCCTGAGTTCAAACAATACTACCAACCCTCTCCCCTCCCTCAAAAAGCTGTTGAGCCTTCAAACGTTGTGATTTTTACTCTCCTCACAGCTTAACTTTTGTTACCAAGAGAGTACTAAGTTTTTTCTCACTTAGGCTTTTTGAAGACTTTTTAACTAAATTGATACTTTCATTGGAAAAATGGGATTGAGGTAGTGTTAACTCACTGACACATGACATATGTGGAGATGTTGGAGACTTCCTTACCACAAATGAATCTTGGTATTTTTTGGTGGTACAGGGGTTTGAAGTCAGGGCCATTAACTTGTGAAGAAGGTGGTCTACCACTTGAGCCACTCTCCAGCCCTGTTCTATGTTGGGTGTTTCAAAGATAGGGTCTTGAGAATTATTTGCCTGGACTGGCTTCGAACTTCAGTCCTCCTGATCTCAGCCTCTTAAGTAGCTAGGATTATAGGCATGAGCCACCAGTGTCTGGCATAAATGAATCTTGATGTATGTCGAACTTGGCTTTTTTAAGGTGGTATTGTTTTGTTTTTTGAGACAATGTCTTACTGTATAGCCTAGTTTGGCTTGACCTCCAGAATGCTGGGATTATAGATATGTACCACCATGCTGGTTTAAGGTATTTTTGAATAATATGGATTACAGTAAAGTCACAACTAAAAATGTGAGGAGGTGAGACTTGGAGAAGATAGTATTCAAACTCTGATAATAAGAACACATGTAAGAAAAATTTAGCTAACATTTATTGTACCAGGCCTAGGATTGAGCACTTTACATTAAGTATTCAATTTCCATGATGAGAAGTTATTCTTAACCACTTTTACAAACGAGGGAAGCCAAGCCACGCTGAGATTGATAATTGGCTAAGATAACAAAAGTAAGCAACATTACCAGGGTTTGAATTCAGTCTGTATCTGGATATACACATTTGACACCTCTCTCTCCTCCAACAAAAGTTTTCACCACTATAGTGCCTACTATAGATTGTAGTTTTTAAAAGTAAGGTTTAAAAGCCTGGCATGGTGGTACATACCTTTAGTCCCAGTGCTTGGGAGGATCTTGAGTTCAAGGCCACCTTAGGCTACATAGTTCCAGGTAAGCTGGCTACTACTATTAAGACCCTGTCTCAAAAATACAAAACAGCTGGGCACTGGTGACTTATGCCAGTAATTCTAGCTAACTCAGGAGGTTTGAGGTTTGAAGGCAGCCCTGGAAAATAGCTCACGAGACCCTGTCTCAAAAATACCCAACATTAAAAAAAAAGTGCTGGTGGAGTGGCTCAAGGTATATGCCCTGAGTTCAAACCTCAGTACCGCAAAAAAAAAGTAAGCTCTAATTGGACAAAATGTTCTAAGAAAATCTGTGGGAAAGTATCAGAGTATTAAAAGGGCAGTGAAGATGAAGCAGATAAGCAGAGGTACAGAAGGAGGAAAGCAGAGAGCAGAGCCTAGCTGTAGATCTGTGACTTGAGTTTCACGGTAACGTGAGGAATGGGGAGAAGTGCCAGTGAGATCCAGAACACCCTTCCTACACCACCCACACAGCTCTCCTGACCCTTTCCCTCAGTTTATTTTGCACTAACTAGCATTTAGTATACTATACTGTCCTTCAAGGCTAGACTGAGCTCCACCAGGGTAAAGATCTTTCATCTACTTTATTCACCACTGACCTCTGCCTTAAAGAGTGCTGTTTAAATGGCCTCACCCTAAATATTTTATAAATGAATATTCATCTTCATTATATGTTGGGAAAATAGTTGATACAGTTCTGAGGAAAGTAGATACTGACTATAGACTTCTATTGGCCAAATTGATATTCAGCTGTGATGACAATTAGATTTATTTACAGACATCAAGGACTCAACCACCCATGACTATTTTCTGAAAGGAAAATTAGTTTTTAATTGTGCTAATTTATATAATTATAAATTATATAAATATAAATTATATATTTATATAATGAACAAAATGGTATTATATATGTTGGTTCATTTTCTACTTTCTATAAATAGGAAAATAGACAAGACTCAGAAATAAGTATACATTTGAATAGATTGTAACAATCACCAACAGATCTTGCTTTGAATCAATAGAGAAATATGGTATATCCTTGGAGGGGTGGGGATACTAAAGGTATAGAGGACGATACTTTTTAATGAACCTGTTGATTTTTTTGTATTTTCCAAATGAATTCCAACTGAATTTATTTTTCCAACTTAAGTTGAATATAAGGTTGCAAAAAAAAAAATGCAGGTAAGTGAGTAAAACATGTTTTTAGAGCTCGGCATGGTGGCTCACTCTCGTAAGCTACTCTGGAGGCAGAGATGGGGAGAATTATGGTCCCAGTCTGGTTCTGGGCAAAAAGTAAGACCCTATCTGAAAAACAACCTAAAGGAAAAAGAACTGGAAGCATGGCTC